AAAATTATATTTTAATGTTGGTACATACATTTCATACATGTCAAAAATTATCTTTTAATGTAGGTACATATGTACATTACTTTCATACATTTCAAAAATTATATTTTAATGTAGGTACATACATTTCTTTCATACATTTCATACATGTCAAAAATTATCTTTTAATGTATGTACCTACATTTCTTTCATTTAAAAAAGTATCTTTTAATGTAGGTACATAACACCCCATGTCAGACCCCTTGTATTTGGAAGAAACTTAAAAATAATGCCAAAAATATTAGATGAATATATTTTTAATACGAATATTGTTTTATTTTTGTTCATCAACTTTATCCCTCACTAACAATACTAGTAGTAGTACATAACCTGGTTTATACCGCTAAAGATATTGAAAGATATACGAGTAATTCAGAATGTTATCAAGTTCAAAATAAGCACACATTACTTGCTTAGATAACAGAGTAATATTACTCGTAATAAAAACATTTATAACACCCATATGTATACTACGTATGTATAGTAAGTACTTACGCTGCGGCGCCGTAAGACTCGTCCAACTCATCTACTCATCTACGCGCGGTAACCGCGCCGACCGACGAATAGGAGCGCGCCTCTCGTGTTTCCAGAAAGTTCGCGACTAACGGACGATATAGTAGTAAGGCAATGAGTGTCCCAGTGACATCATTATAATATTTTCTCGTTAAATTTTATTGTAATATACACAATATCGCACTAAATAACGTGTTACCCCGTTACACATTTCTAATAATGAAAAACCTAAACCGACCCTGTTCACTTAATCTTACAAGATCTGACTTTAAAAATTATGATATCCTCATATAGCCTTTCATTTCCCCTTTCAATACTTTTTCGCATTAAAAAGTAGCCTTTCTCAGGGTCTACATTATCTGTCTACCAAATTTCAATTAAATCAGTTTAGTAGTTTTGGCGTGAAAGCGAGACAAACAGACAGACTGAGTTACTTTAGCATTTATAATATTTGTAAGAATATCGCTATTAAAAATAGGGGTTGGTGAAAGTTTAGGCGTGTATGTATTTTCAATGTAACATTATAAATAAATAAAAAATTGTCCATAATACAAAAAAATATTTTTTCGGGGTAGGCCACCCCTATGACTTAGGGGTATAAAAAATAGATAACAACCCTACCTCAGACCTGGCAAGTATACATATCAAATTTCATCAAAATGTGGGAGAAATATGGCAACTAACACTGTGATACAAAATTTATATATAAGATATAGTGGAATTCTCATTAGGTAAAAGAGGGGTACATCGTAGAATACATGAGGTATATACCAGTAAATTAATTGTAGCTAAAATCAGTCTCATACATATAACGATTGAAATAAAAAATCGTATAGCCCGATTTTGATACGTACGAGTATAAACGTATCAAAATCAGGCTATACGTATAGCGCAGACGCGTTACAACATATCAAAAAAATAGGCATGGAATGTAAAATAAACCATAACATAATAGGTATATACATTGGCACATAAGCCATATCTGCAGAGTGTCGGCTAACGATATTATACCTACACATTTACATTGAATCTTGAATCGTCCCTAATGAGGTACACGATACAGTTACCTACATATCTATTATATACATATCTTTGCTAAACAGATGTCATGTAGACTAAATTGACTGCCATCTATTTTCATGCTTTGTTACTAAGCACCCACTAGTAATCCGAACTGCTTCAGATCTAGCGACATCTAGCGGCTACGGTGGCGAAATAAAATAGCCCGAAGAATAGCCCGAGTTAGGAAGGAACCATTTTCTTGTACGGGATGGGGTATCTGTATGTAATATTATGTTATCTGTGGTTATACCCTTTCCAACCATGTATAAATAATAATCAACGTTATCCCATGATGGGATTTCGGTGTAAGGTGTTACGTTACTGTCTAACAACCGGTATACATCTTACAGAACACCCTGCTTTGGAAAGACATTGTAAAATAATATACTTTCTGTTCAATTCAATTCAATTTTTTAATTGTAAAAGCAGTGTACAAGTAATATTATTATTTTTTATAGTCTGTGTATAGAAGGTTGAATTATTTTTTTTATTCTTATTTTTACTTTCTCTATCCACCCAAAGGTAGAAATCGTTTAGAGATAAGACCAGCCTTTTGTATCTGTTTATGTATATTTACTATTTAATTTCTTTTGTTTTGTATTTGGTGCAATAAAGACTATAAATAAATAAAAAATAATAGTATTATAATATTTCATATACCTATACCTCAACAAAAAAAAAATATTTAGACGATTAGCGACTTCACGATATTTTGCAGCGGACGTGCTATATTAAAATGTATATACTGTTCTAGTCCATGCGATTTTATTTCTACTATGTTGTTAACAACATTGTCTCATACATGCAAAGTGCACAGTGAAAAGCAAATTATAATAATTGGCACTTTGTACTGCGCAGACAGTTGTAGGAGCACGATAAAGTTGGTACCTCCGCTACGAAATTAATGAGTACCTACATATCCATGTATTTACATATTCACACATTAGTACGCTGTAGCATGCAACTCAGTTTCTGTATCTGTACAATGTTACTTATCCAATTTATGGGATAATAGCTGTTACCCCTACTTTGGGTGCTTTTTGAGATAAACGATAACCTATGACCACGTCCCCGTGATCCTCACTCCCGTTGTATTGCGATACGGTAACAAACACACACATTACCATTTCTTATGTTGGTATGGACACAGATAACATAATGTATGGATATAATTTAAGTCGGAGGTCAATGTTTAGGTTACATTTAATGTCATTTGATTCCAAAATAATATCAAGCTAATGTATAAAAATGCGATTTTGAGTATCATGCGCCAATGTAAAAAGCGGGTCGAATTTATAAGAACCCATTACTTTAGTCATAATGATCGTTGCTGTAAACCGCCGACCAAACGATTTCAACTTATCTTTGTATGAAGCAATAACATTTTAGATGTCCGAAGAACACCCACATTGCATTATACTTTTTTAAATTATATTATGTTTGATTTTTAAAGCGAGATAATTTTAGTCTATATATTATAACAACAATTAAACTATAGTTTAAAGTGTATCTTGTCTGTTACTTTTAATTCAGCGATGATCAGAGAATTCCACATAAAAAGTTAATATAAATAATAGGTAATAACAACTCTAACAAGAGAACTGAAATTTATTGAATATCAAACTTTCTAAAATTTAGAGCTTTACACATTGAAGCTATTTACTTTGACATTAATTGAGCCATAAATAATATTAATATACATATAATACATAATATTAAGATGTATTGTAAATAGAAATCATCTGTAGAAGTAAGCTAAGAACCACTCTGATGCTGCCGGTTACTTTGTTATATAATATTTAGAGACAGTATATTTATAGTATCATTTTAACTACAAAAATATAAATCATGTAAACAAATTGCATCCTTGATGTTGCGCTAAACTACGACGCCATTTCGACCATTCACGTCCCCTCTGCCTATCAACTGTCTCGGAGATTGTATGTAAATTCAAGGAGCCCGTATTTATGGCTTTCTGATCACTCCACCCCATTGTGTGCTCGGTTAAATACGCCGAAAAATGCTCAGATCTCTCCAGACTGCCCAGGAATGTATGCAAATCCGCGTTCAGTGTATGGGGTGCTTAATGTCGCCAGCTTGCAACCGACGCTTGTTCTTTTTGCACTGCGACGATTTTACATAATGCTTTCCCGTCTATTCGTTTGAGAGGTCTTACAGACTGACAGGATGAAAGGCGGTAGTCTTAGACAGTTCTACGTCTATATAACGAAGTTGTTGACGAAACGCCTCTGTATATCAAATACTGTTACACGAACTTTAGCATTAATATCTTAAAAATGTTACGTAGCGTAATTTTTGGATTGCAAGACGTATCTTTTTATATAGAAAACTTAAGTTACTTTAACATATGCGGGAGAATAATCAATTTATCTATGATCGTCTATAGACGTTATAATGTATACCTTAAGCACAGATAATATAATATTACATACGTTAAGTAATTGAATATAAAAAATATTTTTCGAAAAATAATGTAGTATATTTGACGTGTTACGTTACCCGATACGATTTATTGTTCGAATAAAATATATATTCGTAAATAATTATATAGCAAAAAAAAAGAAACGACTACAGTACAAGTACCGTTATAAATTTACTTATTAACAAATCAATCTTTACAATCAATTAATATCGTATCGTATTGTATATCTCGGACTTTTTTAAAGATGCCGGGAATAAAGTTTTTCCTTTCTTGTCGCAGAATATTTAAAAGGCAATGTGAGTGACAATCGACAACAGCGAGCCGAGTTTCCGGGGATACTTAATGGCTGGTATTATTTTCGGCCGGTATATCGTCTGGGTATCAGATGCCGTTTCAACGGGATGCCCGGTGCTGGGTCGACAGAATAAATAAGTTTGAATTCGATGCATCGACAGTCTCCCGATTCACACAATATTTTATTCGAATTTAGTGCCTATTTATGCTGCCTTTTTGGTAAAATAACGATGGACTGCTTGAAATAATCGATCCTTGTACAAAATGACTCGCTCTGGCAGAAATTATTGGTAACAATACTACACTCAGGTTTGTATTTACTATATTTAGCTAGATTTATTCTTTACGTTAAATACGTTGGATATACACTACATTTACTAAAGTAAACTCTGTCAAAGTCATCTTAGTGGGCCAGTATTAGCTATTTCTCCTACTAAGTAGTTTATTACGTAATTTGTGCATTGAGTTTCTGTTTTTATGGGTGACATATGGCAGAAATATCCTCCATAGTCCTCACAAATGGCAACGCATAAGAGGTATCAAGATCTTGACCATGTAATGTCGGCAACTGTTTGCGTCATTGACTGTCAGGTTCTTTCCCATTTATTAATATAAAAATATATGTACATGATTTGAACAATGCTTCACTTACTGATATAAGTACAAATGGCGACTGATCCAATTTCATAGCTTCAAGTTGTCTGAAGGTAGGTTCGAGGGTCGTTCGAAGTGGCGACTTAAGTGAGGCCTCAACGAGTGCTGCGAGTAGCTGTCTTGAAGATGGTTCCACTCCCAGTCCAGAGCTGAATGCCGCCAGCGCTTCGCCGTGTCGCCCAAGACATTGAAGAGCAACACCTGTATAAAAAATCTAGGTAGTAATGTACATACATATAGGATTAGAGACTTAAACAGTGTCCATTTTAAGAGTAGGGGAGATTTTTTAATGAAAGAAAATGGAGTGCGCCCCTGTGCGTTAATGGTTTACGCTAGTGGAGTGCCAGTGAAGAATGATAAGATGAATATGAGGTCAAGTCTATAAGGGCATCGTGACAAATTTACCAGGAATTTATCATTATGTTTTCCAGGGGGAACTGCGTGGAGGTCCATCTGGATGTCAAAATGGATCATTGCTAGCAATAGAGACATCAGTCCACATTAGTAGAAGGGATTGTTATTAATGACCATCTGCGATGCAACAGTGTGGTATCTGTGTATTTAGAAGATTCTACCAAGAAGACTAAAGTTTAATAGTTGTATGCATATCTGTGTTACCAAGCTGTTTGCTTTCGAAGTTGTTTCAGTGCAAACGGTGAGAAAATACTGTAAAATTGCAGAGTACGGTGGCATAATACCGTAATATTTTATAATGGTAAAGCATCTGTGATACGAGTATCACATGATCTCTGTGATGCAGTTGGCGATGAATGTTACTTGTGGGAGCCGCCAGCATAATTGCCAATCTTGTTATTTAAAATTTCTTGTAACAATAAAGAAATACGGTCAAGTTTACCTTGCCTGTAATAGGCCTTTGGCCAATTAGGACACAGCTCTTTCGCACGTGTTGCATCCTGTAACGCGGCTGCGAACTGTCCCTGTTTTAGCCTCGCTGCTGATCTATGAGATACATTAAAATTAGTATTTGGGATACAAGAACACAAAAAACGTGATTTTATACATATATATCTATATCGCTATCGCTTTTTCCCAGATGGGGTAGTCAAAGGCATTTCAAATGTCTTTGTTGTTATGAAAGCAACACTATAATATCATTTTAAGTGATTTTCTTCAGATTATGTTTATGCATACATCGATCGTTATTATACTTTTATCATTATTTTATTCACATTTATGCATGTATACATTTCGCAGGGTACATTTGAAATTAATGTTTATATATTTTATTAATTAAAGTATTTCTCATTTATTTCTAGAGTATATTATAGCATTCCTTTATAAAATAATACACACATTATCTGGCATTAAAAACTTTAAAGTATTTAATAGTCATTTTAAGCCACTAATACCTATACGTACAAGTCAGTTTTCTATTTGCATTAATTTAACCATATAGTTCATTTCATAGTAACAAATATTGCAAGAAACCAAAATTACTGTTTACTCATATGTATCTAATATATAAAAAAAATTAAATAACTCTTTGAAAATTTACTTAGGAGACAGATGTGCAGGTAATCAACTAGAATTTCTTAGAAAATTGATACCACAACATTATTTGTGTAACACCTACCTATTGCTGTATAGTATATGGTTGGCGGGATCTAATGTGAGTGCATCTGTGTAGAGAGCGACAGCAGTCACGAAGTCTCCGGACTGACATGCAGCGTTGGACGCCCTCACTTTCTCAACAAAGAGGGCCCGGGAGGCTGCTCCCAAAGATGCCGAGCCGGTCGGCTCCACCTGTTAACAAGTAATTACGTAAGTAGATGTTTGCATATGGTGTTATTATGTACAGTTTGTCAGTCAGTAATTATCATTGTCATAGTTAGTTAGTAGTCGACCACAACAATAGTTTTGTGACTAATAGTATTGAGTGCGTACGACTGATATTAATATTTGTACCAAAACAATAACTAAATAAATAATAATATTGATCTCAGGACAATTCACAGCGCAATAGCGCATAGACCCAAGTTAAGCTAGCTAAAGTTTATGTTATGGGTACTAGGTAACTAGTTAACGATAAAAATACATAGATATATTTTTGTTGTGCCTGATAAATAAGCTACATTACTGTAAAGTTTCATGAAAACCGTACAGTAGTTTGTGCATAGTTTCATGTGCATAGTGTGCAAACATCCATTTATATTCACAAACTTTCACGTATATGATGTTAATAAGATGTGATTATAAGAATGCAATATTCTGATATTACTAAAAATAAGGTCAATAACCACGCAGATAGTATAGCGTACCGGTAGCGTACCGTACAAAGAGTTATGAATTGTAATATGATAGTTCTTTGTTAATATAATAAACTTAAAAAATATTTTCGTTTTTAACTTTCTTAAATTAACAAAAAACCATCAGATAACAAATCATAATTCTTCGAAAATGTTTATAAGCTATTAGCATCTATTGCACGCATATTTACGAATGTTTGTTTCCTTTACAACTGCGTCAAGAAATCGACGAGCGGTCTCGATAAAAAAAGACAAATGACAACAACCAGCTACTGAATTCTTAAACCCTTTCCTTAAATATGGCTAAGCACATATTATTCATAAATAGGTGTGGTTCTGGTTGCTGATATCTGTCCGAGTTTTTGTAATTTGTAAAAAGTACAAATATAGATATATAAAATATAGTAAAAAATACAGAAAATAATGCAGTAGTAAAAGTAGTAATTGCATCTTTCTCAGGACTTTTGTTGATAATCAATATTACTACTATATTCAGTATGGCGATGGAACACAGTGCATGCTGGTCCTAATCCACCAGCTCAAGACATCCGTCTGAAACACGGTTTTTTAAGCCTATTGCTTTGCTGCGGAAATAGATATGTCAGACGTAACCATTTAGACGACATTGTCATCATGTTCCCAATTAGTATAATCTAAACATTTTTGTTAGAATTTTAAATACGTATACGTGTTGTCTGAAGTAGTATAAAACGGAGTCAACTCTATTATGTTTGTTACCGAACATTATCTAGAAAAAGATAGATAGTTTTTGTGTGTACATGAGGATAAATAAATAATTAATAGTAGTTATAATAATGAGCTCTACTACATATAATAACCGTTTATAATGTTATGAGTGTCTTAGTAAGGAGGACTTTTTAAAACTTTACTACAATTATCTAGATGCCATACGTTTTCCAAAGTCTAATAGGATTACAGCGTGAGTCATTCATACGGACCCCTAAAAGTAATGCATTCTAAATTTGAAACGAGCTCGGCGTGAGTCTCGTCCACACCGCCGCGCCACCACCTGCGTTTATCTAGCCGAGCGCATCGGAAGCGAGAGTATTTTTTTCTCACGGACCGCATTCTCTGACCTAACCATGAAACAATCAGCCATTCAACTTTCCACCGTACGTGATATACATTGTTGCGTATCCATCGTATCATAATTCTGTATAATTCCTCGAACGCGTAGTGTAACATACGAAAAGCATAAATCAAAATTTTCGTTATACAGATCTTTGTTCTAAATAAAGGTGGGTGTTGAATGCGCCCTTTTACCTATGCCTCGGTACATGCTTTGTTTCTTTGTTGACGGCTTTTAACACAAATATGAATATTAAACTAGGTGCCCTTCTGAAAGGGCCATTGTGTTTTTACGATGTTTCATTTTAAAACAGACAATCATTTTAAAACAGACAATTTATGTAGCGTCTATTCCAGCTAGCATGGACATATACGCAACTCAAACCTAAACCTTTTTTAGAATGATTGATAAATAAAAATATTTTTTTATAGAATAAAAGTTTGTTTATTTATTTTTGGTTTGTTTATTTATTTATTTTAAAGTCAATTGAGACATCAAAAATATACAATTCAATTACATTGATGTTACACTATATCTTCATCGAGTACACAGATTTTCCTGATCATCATTATTATTATGAATAAAGTGGAGTTCACGAAAACTGAAACCTTTTGTTGTATATAATAATTATAACGTAACTAACTATTCAGAAAAATTGCAAAACGAATCTTTATCAAAATCTACTTACTTGCTTCAGTTTTAATCGTAATTTTTAAACCATATAAGCATTATTTCAATTAATTATTCATGTGTATCTACACTTACATACGGCTATGTAAATTAATAGTGTCTTGTTCGCGCGAATACTTAACAAATACTCAAAGACATGTTAATAAAGCAAAGATGGGCCGAGTTTTAAGGCGCAATATAAATTCTTCAGTTATATGAGATAATAAAAACTCAACTTGGATGATTGCTCATTCTCTTGCGGAGTTAACATCGTTTAATTTTCGTATGCCAATAAGTACAATAAAGCACCGGGATCGTGAATCTTTATTAGGCGTTTCTTTGACGACCCGGTTTTTAGCTGCCCACAGATGAAGTATGTAATCAGCTCGTCCGGTAGTAAGTAAATCCCCTTTGTTCATTGTTACTAAAATATAGGAGAACATAGCGAGTGTACGATGTGACTGATACCAACATATTTTTAATGTATGATAAAGGAATGGTAGCCTGTGCTAAATATGGTATACGTTGACGGATCATCCGTGGATATCCAGGGGGATTACTACTACTACTTCAACTTTTAGTACATACTCGTATGGCTGCTCTCTCATACCTAAGTCAGACAAACATGTTATGTGTCAAGAATTCATTAGATACTAATGTCAAGCATAAAATGGCCGTCAGAAACAAAACGGTACCATCCATCATCTCCCATGCGATACGGTGGCTGCTTATAAATTTGCATGTAAGCTGACCAACTCTGACAATGATTTTTTCGGGATTTAATGAAAAATATAAACGGAGTTCCAGAAAAACCTTTTTTAATATATGTGTTAACACTATTTTATATCCTATTTAGCACTATTACTATATATTACTTTTCTCTAGTTAGGTTTAACTTCATACCAACTTGTGATCCGTGTTCTAATGTGACCACAGCTTACAAGTGGTGGGACTTGAATAAAAAAAATGTTATGTGCTAAAAATCTGAATAATTACTCCATCACGACACAACGGGTAGTGGTTAAAATCGGGACCTCCTAATAAATTTGAGACAGTTGGCAACCCCATCTCCATCTGAACCTTTCATCGACATTATTAGTTCTGCATTTCGGCACCGGATCGGTTCTGTTCTCGTAATGATTCCCGATTGTCTCAGCCATCTTGAAAAATGATGGACGTAATCGCTCTTCATGCGCTTTATTAAAATTTCGTTTAAAGAGGCGCCTGATCACCATCCGTCGGACATATTGGGTAATTATTTTTTCTTTAAACGGCCTTTCATTTATCTTGAAATGTTACTTATTAAACAGAAAAGGCCTGGACCGCCCCATAAATTTGTGAACTTCGTACCTATATACACCCGAATTTCATTATCGGGGAGGTGCGTTGTAGTATAAATACTGTATACATTATCTGTCAATTAATCGCTTTTGCGATGCATCGCTATTTATATAGACAAGTAATAATTAAGGTACTAAATACTGGATTACAAATTCTTTATATGGTTTCCGGTAAAAATGTTACATGTCCAAACCTAAAACAAACGGGTAAATGTCGTAACCCCTATGTGTATAGTGTATTGGAATTCAGGACACGTAGATAGACACCCATGTTTTATTTTACGACATTGTACCTGGTTTATGCGCAGTCACAAAGCAGTCCGGGTCTGACTTCGTAAAGTTCATTTATTGAAACATTTGACAACATGAACAAAACACAAATAAAGAGCTTTTCCAGTATATTTTTAGTAATTTTGTTTTAACATTTTGCTACCGAATTCTAATCTGCAAAATAGATAAATGATTTAAATTTTAAACAGTAATCTATTATATTAATAAATTCATGTATAAACATATTATGTCATACCGTATAATACACAAACAATAAATATATTCGAGTACAATGAAAATGGGTACATACCTACTATGTTAATTTGGTTGTTATTCTTTTCTTACTGCTTGGCATAGATATGTTTTTTTTTCTTATTTACACATTTATTCTGTACTAAATGTAGATTATACAAATATTTTGATATTTTGCTAAGAATAATATACTTAAGTATTAGACATGTGAATGAAATTTATAGTTTAATTTTTTTTGTAGATATACAAATAAGAGAAATATAGGTAGATAGATAGATAATAGTTTTTATTCATATCTTAGTACGCACATATAGGCTTAATTATAACATCACAAGTAAAATATAACAATTCGATAAGGATAAACCTGCATACTGGTACATAGCTCAGTGTGGAATCACTCAAGGAGCAAACTGATTTCAGCCATGTCCTCGAGGGTGATTAATGTACTTTTATTTTTTTTATAAACTAAAATGTACTGAACGAAATAATGTGTAATAAATAAATAATAAAGGAACTTTGAAAGTAGGAAATATAGTTAGAGTACCAGAAGTTTATAAATATCCAGATACTATATTTTAGTTTGAGATATATGAATACTATAAATAAGAATATAATAAATGTGTAAGAATAATAATAATTATTGCCATGAAAGAAGTGAAAAATGTATAAATGTATTAAGGGAAAGGAAAACAATTAGAATGTCACCAGAACAACTTGGTTCTTGTTTACTGTAATAGGTCTGTTTTTATATGTTTTTAAATGAATATTGAGATGTAACATTTCTAATGGGTACAGGAATATTGTTCCAACATTTAGTTGGTAACGAAAGCTGCCAGTAAAACCTACAGTTTTGTGACGCTGAAGCGACAAAGGTGG